GTGGATGTCCGTTGTGCTTGTAGGGGTGGGAAAGGACTTGATTGCATCAAGGTACTTTGGCAGCGGGAGGATTTTGTCTTCTGATATCCTGAATCCGGCGAAGTCAACCTCTCTTTGTTCAAACTGGAACTTGTCTGAGTTGAGGACTATGCCAGCTGCTCCACATGTGGATAGGAGATCAATGGTCCTCCACCAATGTGCTTCAAGGTTGTCGTCATAGTGACATGTGTCATCAACGCATCGCTCCTTTCTCTTGAAGTTTGACAGGATGGCATCAAACGGTCTGTTGTATCCATCCCCTGAAGAAAGGAAACCCTGTGGTGCAGGAGTGTACCTCCATCTACCAAATGGGGTTATGAAAGTGGTGAGGTGTCTGTCATCTTTTCTTAGTGGTACACTGTGGTAGCCATTCCATGCATCGGTAACAGACTTCCATGTCTTACCAGGGATGCGCCTCGCAAGGGTTTCTCGTTTGCAGAATTTATTGAGGGGTGAGAGATCGACTGTTCTTCTTGGGCTGCCATCGTGTTTCCTTGTGACTACCATCTGTCCCCGTAGGATTATGCGATTGTGCGGCCGCGTTTTTTCGCGTAATTCTGCAACATTTGCATAATTTTGGATTCTCTGCGTTTTTTCATTTTTTCCCCCTTTTTTTTGCACAAAACAATCAATTAACGCCTCGCCATGTAACTAAAGGGACATAATCACCGTAATAAGCCTTATTCAAGTGAAAAGTTGGCTATTTCCCTTGTTAGTAGATCTTGGCTATGGGTTGTGATTTTGTTCCTTGAGCATGTTCCATTTTTCAATCCATCAAAAGTTGTTGTTCTCATGTCCTCTGATGTTTCATGTTTTACAGGTGTCCCTGGTTTTAGTAGTGTGCCAGCATCAGAGGTCAAGATGTCCTTTTTTTTTTTTTTCTTAAACATTTTTCTTTCCTCTATAGATTTAGATCTACAGCTGAAAGTTAGAGAGATTATATTTTTTGGTTGTTTTTTTTTTTACTGATGTATATTGTTTTCTTTTCCAAATACACAATAAATTACTGATACTGATATGTTCTGTTTTCAATTTTTCTGTACATAAAACATGAAAATCATGAAACTTCGTGTTGAAAAAGTGCAAAACATGTCTCGAATGGTGTTACGGTAACTTGCATATTTTTTGCATAATTTGGCCTTTTTCTTGCATAATTTGGCCTTCTAAATTTGCATAATTCTACGGGGACAGTACCATGCGGTGGCACCAGATAACTGGCTCTCAAAAGGGGACCTTCTCTATTACCCCCAAAGCTTCGTCCCGCACCAGGTCTTTATGGACCTGCTCTTGCCAGTGAAGGGGTATGGGTGCTGCAGTGTGGCAGGCTTTGGGAATGGCAGTCTTCTCAACATGTATTTCTACAGGGGGTCCTGTCATGCAAGGCAAGGGCCTGTGAGGGCATGTGTTGAAGGTGGACCTACTGTACCTCTCCAGCAGCCAATCACGCATCTTCTCATTGTTCTCCGGTATAGGAGCAAAAGGCAGTGAAGTGGATCTTTGGAGTATGGACTCTCGCTGAGGGCATTTGCAATTGTGCTCATTTTGTTCTGCACCAGTGCAACCAGAATTAATTGACCTAACATGTTGTTGATGCTCCTTCTTTTCTGGTTTGTTTGCTGTGGACCCAAAACATTTGTTCATGCATGCACCAATTGTTGGGAAAGATTTATCAATGATGCCTAAATCAAGTGCAGTGTCATATGATAAGAAGAAATCATTCACTCAGTCTGATATGTACACCAAACATGTGCTAGCAATAATTTCACCGCTGGGTGATTTATCCTTAACTAATGCATTAAAGGCTCCAACAATGTTTTTTAGTTTTTTTTTGGTGGCCCTCATGTTCATGTTCACAGGCAGAAGGTCAGATTTTGAAAAGCCACTTTCGGTGAAGTTCTTTAGGCCCCACAGGTTTGACATGGCCCCGCTGTCCATGATACCTCTCAAGTGGGCTTCAGGCTGGTTTATGTTCTTCTTGATCCCGGCCATTGTGATGCAGAGCTCTGCACGAAGATGGCATGAGCTCCTAGACTTTTTTAGGTCACTTTTGGAGATCACTTCTTGATGCAGAGCCACCGCACCAATCTGGGACACAGCCGGCTCAGTCGACAAGAAGCTGAGAGATGTGGGCTCTTCTCTGCGACGACTAGCTTGCTAGCAATTGATGCATTTCGTGTGGGGTCTAGTGTTCCAGGAGCCGTTTGCCCTTTGCTTGAATACATTGAATTTCTTCCCGCAGTCAGGGCATGGCACCGGTTTGTTTGTGTCTGGAGAAGAAGGCCCCTTAGTGAGATCATTGGATCTGTAAGTATCTGGAGAAGGGGGCCTCTTGGTGGGATCATTCTCATGTGACTGTCTCTTCTTGAATGCTGAGAGTGCTGACATGGATGTGCTAGGTGTGGCATTTCTAGCTATCTCGTGGCCTTCAACAAAAGCGATGATGTCGTTGACTCTTTTCTACTGAATGTCCCGTGTACTAAGGGCCTCTCTGCGAATGTCAAGGTCTGCGATTCCTGCCCGGAGGACATCCCTGACTGTCTCAATTGTGTAGTCGGCTTGGACAACTTCATTGCATGTGCATTTAGCGATGGTTGTGAACATGCAGGTCTCGGCCTGACCCTTTACCCTGGCAGCGAAAGTGCGAAATTGTTCGTCGGGTGCCTGGCGTAGCTGCATGGGTTCTGCCCTTCTCACACCAATGGCGACTGGTATCACAGCAAATTCCCGCATTATTGACTTGACCTCCTTGAATGATTTTGACTGGATATTAGGGTCAGCCTTCAGTATCAGATCGCCCAGGGGTTCTGACACACATTGGAACAGTTGCATTGAGGCAGTGGCCTCGTTTATGCCCGATCCTATTTTGAAAGCCTCCCATCTCCTTACGAACCCATTCCATACCTCCTCCTCTACCCCGATGTCAATTTTGGGGCGGTCGAGTTTTGGTTGAGGTGGTGCAGGAGGGTGGGCAGTTTGATTGTGTGTGAGGGCATGTATATTGAGCAGTGCCGCCACCACCGGGGCGTCTCCTTCACCGGTTTCATAGTCACAGCCTGGGAAAGGGCATATGACCATGTTGCCGAGTTGTGGGTTGAAGACTGGTGGATTAGATGTCCTGGGTGATCAATTGCTTTCAAACTTTCTCATAAGGCTGACACCGTCATGAAGAACGCTTGTGTGGCTGCTCTCAAAGCGATGAAATCATCATGAAGAAAGACTTCTCAGTGTAGTTCATTTATTATTTATAAACGGTAGATGATGACTTCATCTGTGAACACAGATTAATAGGGACAATGAATGATACAGGTACGACATAACAAGAAATAATATGGGGTACACTACATAACGTACAGAGAACATGAACTAATAATATCATATAACACATAGCCATACAATATGGGGTACCACATCTTTTATTCATGTATAGAAATGCCTCTGATATCAGGTGGATCATTTGAAATTTCTCCCAGAATTTGAAAAGAGGAGATGTATATGGGCTATTAATGTAGCCTAACCTAAGCAACCGGACTTATTTTTTGGTGTACTTGTGCGGGTGTTGGCAGGTGGTATGGTGTGATTTGCTTCTTCTTCCTTATCAAACATCTATTGTCCCTGTCCCTCCTTTTTTATTTAATATTTGGCACTCAATGTTAGTGATTTGCTTCTTCTTTCTTATCAAACATCTATTGTCCCTATCCCTCCTTTTTTATTTAATATTTGGCACTCAATTTTAGTTATGACCTAATTATTTTTTTGCAAGTTCCGTTAAACTCACTCGCTACCTTTTATGGGCATTTAACGTGACAGTTCGACTGGTGATTCCTAGACAGAGAAGGTTATATGTTCTTCACTTGCACATCTTAGCCTTCAGAACTGAACTAAATCATTTTTGGAGTTGCCTGGGTCCCATCTGCTCCTTCCTCGGCAGACTAGAGACATATGATATTATCCGTAATCATTTTAAAGGCTCTCATATTCTGTTTTACTGCAGTGTCCTAGGGAGTTAAGATCAGAAAACTCCATTGTTTGTTTTCAGTTTTAATTTCACTGTGGGTTTGTA